AGGGGCCCGCACCTTGGGAGGTTGTGCCTGGGGTTTGGCATTGCTTAGGGCTGATATGTTTCTGCTTTCTAATATGGGATGATGGTTAAGAGCACAGACCTAGACCTCTTACCTCCTCCATTGATAGTCTGTGTGATCCTGGACAAGTTACTTTATTCCCATGGGTCTGTGTTTTCTAGCTGTGAAATTCAGGTGTTCATTATACCTCTTGCCTCTTTTCTTCTGAGCCTCCCGTGAGTTGAGTGTCTGGTGTGTGGGACATACTGCAGAAATTACCGTTATGGTTTCTTTTGTGTGGGCTTTTGGTTTCCAGACAGTGCTTTGACTCACCCTGTGTCATCCAGACATGGGAGACTCATGACTTGATCTCGGCTCAGATACCCACCACCCTACTCTTTGTTAGATGTTCTCAGTGCACAGCCAGGACCTGACCATGCAAAGGTGGGACGTGCGTAGGACCGAAGCCTGGCCCTGGAGGCAAGCCTGTTCCCAGCACCCTCGGTCACTTGCTGGCCGAAGATCCTGAGGGCAAGGCTTCAAGGAGACAGGAAATGATTTCCTAAACTAGAAAGCAGAGTGGGCCTTGTGACACAGAGCCAATCCCGAGGGTGCCTCTGCCCTTTCCTGGAAGAAGGCCTGGCCCTCACAGTGGCTCACTAGGCAGAGGGCAGAAAGCCACCTCCCAGCTATCTAGGTGCTCTGCGGGAGCCCCATTCAGCCACCTTCAGTAGGAGAATGGAGTGAGCGACAGCCTGTGGCTCTGCTGATTCCTGCTTGTTGTCAGAATAAAAGCTGCCTGTGCCCCATCCCGGCAGCCAGACTTGGAGCGGGCACCCCGCAGGGCCTGCCCTGACCAGTGTGCTCAGGCACTTATCTGTGCAAGTGGCACAAGGCTCCCTGCCTCCGAAGAGCCTCACTGGGGCTTTGATTCCTGGAGGCTACACACTGAAAAGATGCCTCACAGGGATTTCAGAGGAATCTTACAGTTTCTCTTAACAAGTGGTTTTATGGCATATGGGACCCCAGGGAGACTTGCCTAAAGCTCTGAGAGTAAGGTGATATTCCCCTATCAGGCAGCAGAGGGATTGGGTTTATTTGGCTCTGGGCTGTGGAGTTGCCAGCTGCGGCCCGGGGCAGACAGCCTCAAGCTTGTGGCCAGAAGGCTCTGGGAAGCTGCAGGAGGAGCTCCTGCCCCTGGTGACTGGCAGGAAGAAAGCCTTTCTTGTACTTGGACGTGCCAGCAGGACCAAGGCCCTACTTGGCTGCAGCCTTGTCCCAGCTTCTGTTAAGCCCACCACACAGCCTGCCTTCAACCCTTCTCATCCTGTGAAACCTCCCACTCAAGGCTGTATCCTGCCCAGGTAGTGAGAGGCAGCTGTCCTTCCCTGACTGACTGCTCCGGCCTCCTTCCTGGGCCTCTGCTAAACTACATTGCCAGGGCCTCCCTTTCGACATGCAGAGTCTTCCCCATTCCCTGCCTTACCTGCCTCCTTCCCCTCCACCCTTCCCATGTTCTGTTTCCCTGAGTCCCAGCAGCAGTCCCAACAGCAGGTTTCAGCCACTGCTGGCCTCTGGGTCAAGACCCTGCACACTCACCTTCCTGTGTCTGTCTCGGTCCTTCAGACCACCTATGCAGGGGTTTGCATGGCACCTCCTGCCACCAACTTCCTATTTCCTGGGTCACCTGTGCTGCCCTGCCTCCTGTGCTGGCTCACCTCAGTGACTTGACACCATGCTACTTTCCCTTTGTAACAGTAGCCCTGGGTTTTCTGAGTGTAAATACAGCACGCACATGAGCACCTTCAAGGCGCCCACGCTGCCTTTGCTGTTTGTGTTTTATATGGACAGTTACAGCCAGTAATGTTGCCCCTTCCTTATCTTTCATACCCTGACCCTAATGCCCATGTCTTCTGGTTATTGCTGTCTTGTCCTGTGTTGCCTTTAATCTGGGGGTGGAGTGACCACCCACTACTGATTTGGACTGGGTCATCTGCAAAGTGCATAATCTGTGTGAATATAGTTGAGAGTTGACTGAAAATTTCCAGCTAGGGACTTTAAGGCCCATTTTCTGATTCCCTCGTTTCTGGACCCATCTTACTAGGTCAGCTCCGCTCTGCAGCCATCACTCTGGACCCCAGTCACAACTGAAGGAAGCCTGCTGAGTCCCTCCCTACCATCACTGAGGTCAGGTTCCCCATTGTTATAGCTGCTGAGAGGGGCCTCAGTTTTACAAGTCTGCCAGGTGTTTGGTAGCCAGCTTCCTTAATCAGGCCCAGCCCAGACCCAGCAGGGTCACCTTCTAAGGATGGGTGTGTGGCCTGCTGAAGCGCCCCTGATAGTCCCAGCCTCCCTTCCCTGGACCCACATCAAGCAGCTGGATCATTAAGAAGGGGAACTTGCTGTTTAGTAGGGAATAGAGCGCTGTCAGCAGGGCATAAATATTCATAGAGGGAGGTTAGAACTTGAGTCCCTAAAACCTTGATTTGTGTTCACCCATTTAAGCCTCATTAAAAAGTGGCAAATGAAAGTGGGGATATTTAGTAGAACTGCAAATAAATTGGGCTTATTCAGATAAAGGCTCCCAACTGCCAGTCCCTTAGGCCCTGTCCAGAGCATGATGGCAGATTGGCTTGGCCACTTGAGATTTGCCAGGCTCAGTTGTAAGGTTTTGCTTAGCATGAGTTCCTGGCCTTGCTCTGGGGCAGTTACCACTTGTTTGGGTACCTGCTAGCCTTCCAGTGGTGTTTAGGGATGGAAATCCCCACCTTTTCTCTCCCCAGAATGACTTGCAAATCTGGGCCTGGACCAGGAGCAGCAGGGAGAACTGTAACCTAGGACTGAGGCTTGGGTCTGTAAGTTATGTGCATGAGTGAAAGTGCCAGTCTAGGTTTCTCCTTCCAGCTTCTGTGGGCACGAGGGCAAGGATTTGGAAGCCAGTTGTTACATGAGACCTGAATCAACTGTCCCCAGCGCCAGTCCACCCATGCCAAACCGCCATTCCAGCCACAAATACAAAAGGTGCAATAGGCCCAGCCTTGTGGTAGACCCAAAGGAGACAGGTTGCCTTCTAGGATAGGAGCTACAAACTTAGGCATTTTCAGCCCTACATGGGGCTCTCAGGGTTTGGACACAAATGGGGCAGCTTCATGTATGTTCCTTCCACCTTCCGAAAGGACAGACTGCCAGGGGAAGGTTGGTGTCCCTCCAGCGAAGGGCAGAGGAGGAGGTAGAGCATCAGGAATTAAGCTTTATTTGGGATCCAGTCTGGAACTTGGGGCCCTGGTTGTGGCTTCTTTCTGTTGGTGGTGGGGTTTTTGTTTTTTTTCACTACTGGGAGTTGAACTCAGAGCCCTACGCTGGCTAAGCAAGTAAGTGCTCTACCACTTAAGCTGCACTCCAGTCCCTGACTGGTTTCTGTGCCATAGAATGACACAGGGGCTGGGCTGTGTTGAGGAGCACTCTGTGAAAGACAGACCCCATCATGACCTGAAGCATGGCATCAGGCTGTTGCTGTCCCCCAAGCCTGGTCTCCCCAGCGTTAATTCCCTGCAGTGCAGGTCTCAGAAGGCCTCTGGCCTCCCCAGGGACAGCCTCATCTTTTGGCTGGAGCTGTTTCCCAGGACAGCTCTTTTTTTGGGTGCCCATTTGCAGAGAAACTACACAATTAAGTAGGCAGTTAACTCAAGACTCTGCACTTGCTCCCTCCCACAGGACCCTGAGCTGGAGTGGGCTGGGACTATAGGGAAAGGGAGGATGGTGTGCCTTCTGAACTAGGCCTCAGGAAGAGGGACAGTGGCTGCCCTAGAAGTGACTAGAATGGGTGCTGGCCAGGGTGGGGGCAGAGACCCAGACACTTCAAAAGCAACTCTCCTGACCCCAGCCCAGAATGCCTGCCTGGTCCTGGACTCTGACCAACCTTCCTGAGATCCAGGGTTCTCATTTGCAGGGGGCAACTCCAGAAAGGAATAGAGGAGAGAATTGGCCCCACTGTGACTACTCAGAAAAGTCACTGCATTTGGGCAGCCCATCCTCCCATTTGTGAAAAACATTTGTTATCTGTCCCAGGGATGTGGTGAGACTGGGTGAAGTCAGACATCGGAAATGGGATGTGATGTGGCTCCAGTGAGCTCTTCAGCCAGCTGCTGTGCAGGGCACAGCCCTTGCACCCCGACCCTGAAATCTAGACTCCTGCCAGTAGGCCCAGACCCAGAGAGACACCTGGAGCCAGAGGAACAGGGAAATGGACTTGCAAGGACAAATATGTGACACCAGGACCCTGGTTGGATAACAGAGGCCAGGATTTTACAAACCACTTTCCTACAAGTCAGATATTTCCCCCAGGAGCACATCTCTCAAACTAATCAAGACAAACGGGAAAAGGTATACTTGGCAACCTGCCTTTCAAGAGTTTATATTTCACCACACAAGTTATACTTTCCTTGATGATAGGCAATGTTTTTGCATAAGAACCAAGTTAGAAAGAAATACAAGAGGTTTGGAGTTGCATTTTTTCACTAATTTTTATCAGTTCTCACAGAAAAATATCTATTCTCAAAATTTAGATTATGCTGTTAGGATGAAGTTTGTCAGTGAACACCTGCTTTGTGTCCTTCCCAGGTTTGCAGGCGTGGGAGCTCCACGGTGCTCGTGTGTCAGGGGCTGCCTGCGGAGCAGGACCTGCAGTGTGCAGGGCTTCGGTGGCCCCTGTTGTAGGCCCAACTGGGGCGTTGTGCTGAGCTGACAGCTGACCCAGGGGCTTCTCCTCTCTGCCCCGAACTCTGCTTGGTCCAGAAGATAGGACAGCTGTAACACCCACTGCCCTGTTTCCACGGGGTGCTTAGGCTGATAGCTCATCTGAAGCACACAGTGGTAGAGAACATTAAAACAAAGTCACTCCAGGGAAGGCAGGACTAGAACAACTGCCCAGAGGCTCCCTCAGAGATCCCAGTGTTTTGAAAGCTGCAAGGCTCTGCAGCCCACCTGCCTGCTGTCTATTTCAGATCGATGGGCTAGAGGAGAAGCTGTCCCAGTGTCGGCGAGATCTAGAGGAGGTGAACACCAGGCTCTACAGGGCAGAGCTGAGCCCAGAGGACAGGTAATGCTTCTGCTCTACCATTCCCCTCCCCCATCCCTGCCCTCTGTATCCGCCCTAGGCCCCCAAAGTAAACTGAATCAATCAATCCCAGGCAGATTGGGGTCCCTAGCTTCTGTGGCTTTAAGACCTGAGCCCTTGCCCTCCTTGTTCAAACTGCCCTTGTGTGTAACTGCTCCTCAGGGGAGACTGAGAAAAAGGGCTTGAGCCATAAAACTTCCCTCTCACAGGAGGTCTCTGGAGAAGGAGAAAAGCAGCCTGATGAGCAGAGCTTCCAACTATGGTAAGAAAGCAAGTTTCCTTGGGCCCATCCCCCAGCCCCAGGGTTGAGGAGTCAGACAGCCCTGGGGAGCCAGATGAGGTGTCAGGGAGCCAGCCCCCAAAAGGCTGCAGGAACCAGCCTCCTGGAAGGAGAGCTGTTTTGTTCTTTGTTCCAAGGGAGGAAGAGGGCCAGTGATGGCTCTTCCTCTCTGGGATGAAGGAGTGTGGTTGCAGCCAGGTCCAGAAGAGTCTCATGTCCACCCAGACTTTGGACATCTGTCCTCCCCCAACCCCGCCTCCCACTCCCTTCCAGAAACACCCTGCAGTGGGAGTGGAGCAGTGGTGAAACAGGACAGCCCCATTCAGAAGCGCTCTAGTGGGTAGAGCAATGCTGCCCCCTTCTGGGGACTGGAGGCAGAGTCCCGGCAATATGAGCAGCCCCTTGCCCTCAAAGGCCAGGAGGAAAATGGCCTGCTGGAGGCTCTTCAGATTTGTCCCCTGTTCATTCCTTCCCTAGGGGGGCCAGGTCTGGCCAGAGAATTGCCCAGAAGAACCAGTCTGAATCAACATGTGGCTGAGGCGTGGGGCCCAGTCTCACCTGCCCACAACTGGGCATGGGTAGGGGTGAGTGGGGCCTCAGTTTCCCTTTAAGCTTAGCAATTTCACTCAGAACTGCAGCATCACCAGTTTAACCCTCAGAGTGCCAATCATCACCTACCTACATGTCAAGAATAGCAGGACTGACTTCCTTTAGAGTTGAGGCTGCCTGCCCATTTTATCCTCTCTAGTTCCTGCTTAGCTGGGCACCTGGCAGAGGACAGGAATTCAGGAGGCCCTCAGAGGTCTCAGCTTTCCTGAGTTTCTAACTGGCCAGAAGAGACTCCTGGAAGGATGAGCACCACAGCCCACCCCGTGATGGGTAAGGGGCCACACCTGGTGATGTTATGCCAACTTTAATCTTTGGCTTTCAGCTGAAGCCACTTGGGTTGACCCCTCACACCCCAGCTGCACTTGAAGAGGAATGACTGAGCAGAATTTGGTATCAGGACTGTTACGTTAGCCCAAAATCTGTAGCTAAAGGTTATGAGGATTTGGGCAGATAGGGATAGGGCCATGTTTATAGATAAGAAAGTAGCTTAGTCTACGGCCACACCACCCTGAACGCGCCCAATCTTGTCTGATCTCGGAAGCTAAGCAGGGTCGGGCCTGGATAGTACTTGGATGGGAGAAAGTGGCTGGGATAAGGACTGGTTTGAGGCCAACCTTGGCATAAAAAGTTACCAAGATCCCATCTCAACCAATTAGCCGGTCATGGTGACACACACCTGTTATCCTAGCTTCATGGGATGCGTAAGTAGGAAGATCATGGTCCAGACTAACCCAGGCAAAAGCCACACAGCTCTACTTGAAAAATAACTAATGCATTAAGGACTGGGGCATGGTGCCTGCTTAGCAAATGAAGCCCTGAGTTCAAAACGCCAATACTGCCAAAAATGAAAAAAAGTATCTGGGAGACACCTCTATCTTGAGCTATGTCCATCTTGGAAAGGGAGAAAGTGGCAGATGGGCCTAACCTCTGCCTCATTCCCACCTCCCTTTTCCTCAGAGAAGGAGCTGAAGTTGCTTCGGCAAGAGAACCGGAAGAACACGCTGCTCTCTGTGGCCATCTTCCTCCTCCTGGCCCTGATCTACGCTCACTGGACCATGTGAGTTTCAGATTCCCTCAGCTGGTCCCTGCTTGCTCTCAGCTCCCTGCTCAGGACCAAGCATTCCCTTCAAGTTCAGAGGACCAAGGTGCCAGGCATCCTTCTCCCCACACCACATGCTCAAAGGAGACTCTTGCTGACCCAGCCCCTGTGGCCCTGGCCTGCTGTGGGGCTGGATACCTAGAAGGACATGCTTAGGTCTCCTGGAGCCAAAGGAAAGGCAATAAAGAATACCAGCCCTCCCGTCTGCTGAGTAAACATTGCGGGATGCTGCAGCTGAGGGGCAGCAGGGCAGTCTGGTATCAAGGAAAAAGAGCTGTTCGTAAGTTCTTGGTGTCGAACTCAGAAGGGTAAAGGCAAACCTGGGAAGGCAAACAGACATCATGCTGCATGCCCACTCCCTACCAAGTAAGCTGCATGCCCTCCCAGTCAGTGCCGTGGCCTGTAATTATGGCAGAAAAAATACATGCAGTGAAGGGCAACTCTGGGACTCTTAAAGTGGTGGTGCAGAGGTCCCAGGGGAGTGCGGAATTAATCCATCTTCAAGAGGCAGGCAGGGCTAGGTGGTCTTGAAGAATGAGTAGGCAGCAAGAGCCATGGTAATGAACAGACTGACTTATGGTGACAGTGGCCAGTAAATTAGGTAGGGTTTGCATGCAAGAAGGGTGAGGCTGATCAGAGGGGAGGGGACTGAGACAGGAGCAGCAAACAGACATTACCCACTGCCCTGGCACACCTCAACTCCACTCCAGCACTGGGCAGGCGGGAAAGACTGGGTGCTACAGTAAACAGCTCAATGGTGAGGGCTGGGACAGAATGAGGAGAGGAACGCTGTTAAAGCATCAAGATGGGGTTCCTGTGGTCAGGAGAGGGAGTCCAGCAAAGTGTAGGCAGGCATAAGGGGAACCAACACCAGGTCACCAGGTGGAGAAACTCACCCTAGAGTGGAGAAGAGAGGGACCGCTGGCATGTGCACATCTGCTCAAGCATGGGCAGAATGGGCCCTGGCCACCTAGGAGGGGAGACTGGCCAGGGTCAGCAACACTGTCCCTTCCTTCCTCCCATTCCCAGTCTAGTGAAACTAACTGGTCTGACATCTCTGTTATTTTAAGTCACACAGACTGATCCTGGCTTGTCACAGTGCCCCCACGGAGTGAGCTGTGTGATTTATATAAGAGAGGGAATGTGTCCCCTGGCCTCCTGTAGCTGGAGGTTCATTCATCCCCCACCTCGTTGGGCTCCCTCTATAGCAGCAAGCAGCAGCCCTGGGAGCTTGGACAGGCTCCAACTAAACAGACGGTTCTTTCTCCCCCTCTTCAAGTAGAGCTTCCTCTCCCTTCACCTCCAGCCCAAACTGTTTCATCCAAGCCAGTCCCCAATCACAAGGCACTAAAGACAAACGGCCCCAGCACACAGACACACAAGCATTAAAAATATGTTTATCTTTAATGATCCAAGATTCTGCAAGACACACTGATATACCCAGAACTGGGTGGAAATACAGCATCTCAGAGGTGCTGCTGCCAGCTTGGGGGGGCCAGGGCTGACTGGAGAACCCCCGTGGTGGAGTCAATTCCAACCTCACAGGAGCCTCAGTGATCCATCTCCATGGAAACCAGTCTAGCATTGGGATGGGGGCTCTAGGGAGCTGGCATGAATATCTCTGAGGCATTCCCCATCAAAAACAACTGCAAGTGCCCTCCCCCACCCAAAAAGGCCACCCAGCTTGCCCTCCTCCCTCTTCACCAAAGTAGAGGAAATGGAGTGACCACAGTATGAACGAAAACAGACTCTATCTACTAATAGAGGAACAGGGTAGCAGAACTCAGAACTTTAGAACTCTGCCATGACTTGAGGGTGGCCAGGGCAGGGTGGCATGTGGTTGCAGGTGCTACAAAAACCCAACCCCGAGGTAACCCATCTGCTACTGGGGAAGAGCAAAAGGCAGGTCTAAAAGGCTGCCTCCTGTTTTAGAGCTGCCAACATTTGGATCAAAAGGGCGGGCCTGGAAAAGCTCTAGTTACAGCCAGTACCAAAGACAGCACAACCTGGATCACAATGTGGTATGAGGGACATCAGGCCCACATGCCTCCTTCCTGGCCTGCCAGAACTATCCGAGGTTCAGGCTGAGTACTACTCCAGGAAGGGTGAGGAAGGAGACAAAGTTTTCTCCAACATGGCATCAAAACAGAGCAAGTAACAAAAACCTTGATTTGTACAACAGCTGCTCCCGGCCAGCTCAAGGCAGTGTGCCTCCACATACTCAAGGTTTGCCCAATAGAAGTTGGGCAAAGCACAGGCCTACACGTGGGACTCAGAAAAGTGGGTCTACAGCCTACCACTCTGACATGTCCTCCACCAGTCCCACATGCCCTAGGCACTGACCACAACCCTGCCTCAGGAGCAGCTTCCTTCAGGTTGAGTCCTGTTGGGGAAACAGTTTCCAGGTAGGTGTCCCAGAGTGAAAATGTGTCCTCTGAAGGCCCCAAATAAGCTCCTCAGAGATGGAGAGGGGCCACCGCCCTCATGGCCAGGCTGAGCACTCTCCAGTCCCTTCCCAAGAGGTGATGGAACCAGCACTGCAGACCCTGGGAACACAGTGCCCTGCCTTGGGGAATGCTGGGGCACTTGGCAGAGGCACAGACTTCCACAGCCCTCAGGTGCTGTGTGTTTGTGTGTGTGTTAGGGGTGGGGGGAGTTGTTTTGTTTTTTTTGGTGGCACTGGGTTTGAACTCAGGGACTCATGCTTGCTACGCAGGCACTCTACCGCTTGAGCCATTCCACCAGTCCAGCACTGTGCCTCTGGATGAAAGAAAGGACGTCCTCTTTGGACAGCTTATCTGGGTCCTGCGGCTTCTGGGAGTCGTGCACACGGATGCCATCTCCCCACTCCCAGAAAAGCCGGCCGTAGTAGCAGATGCTGGGAAGAAGTGTGGGGAAAGAGGTCAGAATGCTGCACCTAGGTGACATGGGTTCAAGAGAATACCAGCCCACCCCTGGCAACCACAACTTAGGGGATGGGTGTTTTCAGTGTGTGTCTTCAGGAGATAATCTGTTGATGAGCAGTTGAAGGTCTTTTGGCAGCCAATGGGTACCCAGGAGGCCCCAACTTCTCTGTGCTTCCCAGAACCACTCTTCCCAACAAACAGCTGCTGCTGCTAACTGCATCCAATGGACGCATAATTACTGATATTCCAGGATTATCTGTCTGGGCTTTTCTGACAGAATAGTATCAAAAAAGTGGGGTGACAGAAACAAGTATCAGTGGCTAAATTTAGGTACATTTGTGCTACTGTCAAAACTATGACCAGTTATCTGGTAAATGGATGCTGGATACTGAGTCCTAAGGGGCAAGGCCAGGGGCCCTCACCTTGTTCCCAACACCAGACCAGTGTCGGAATGTCACGCAAGCAGCAGCTGCTCTATAGACCAATGCCTACCCTGGTGGGCCTTTCACCCCAGGACCCCCCACCCTCCCAGCAAATTGAGGCATTGCTCTCACTGAGGACAGTACGCAGGCTCAGCCACACCTTTCTGGGGAGGGATGGGGGGTGAACTGTGTTTCCAATCAAGACAGAATCATCCACTGTCATGGCAGGCAGCCTCAGCCCTACAGTGTGCCCAGGAGGGCTGGTTTCAGAAGGATGTGGGGCGGCTTGGAGTACTCACTGAAATGGGGCAATGGAGTCTGTCGGGAGGTCAAAGGTGGAGTTCTTGGTTTTCTTGTTGTAGAAGAACTTCCTCTTCGTGCTTTTGCTGAATGCCATAGTCCAAGGCTCTGACAGGAGGAAGAAGGGAGGAGCTCACAAAAGGAGAGAGTACCCATGGGGGTGGGTCTGGCCAACGCAAGGGTACCTTTCTTCCTCCTGTTCTTCCCTTCCCACCTCCCTCCAAGAGCAATGGGGATGCAACCTCCATCACCAGCCTAAAGAGGCTCAGGAGGGCTGGGGATGTAGCTCAGTGCTAGATCACTTGCCTAGCATGCCCAAGGTCCTGGGTTCGATTCCCAACGATGCAAAAAACAAAGGGGCTCAGGAAGAAGATTGAGATTGTTACTTCTCATCGGCCCCAACCTAATCCTGTCCACCTGCCACAAGGGTAGTATCTCCAGCCTACAGGGACACAAGAGGACAGTGGCCAAGCTTGCCTTTCTGGCCTTGCTACTGCCCTCTGAGGATACCATGTAGACATCTGCAAGTTCATCTTCTCTTTCCCTGGCCCAAATCCCAGGGCCACCAAAAAACAGAAAAGGCCCAGGGAACACAGTGCCCAGACACCTACCTCAGAGAAATGACAGTATGGCTGCTTCTCACCTTAGCAGGGAGCCTATAGCTCTGGCTCAGGCAGGGTCTGAGCCAATCACCTCTGCTGGGGAAATGGTAGGGATGGGGACAGGGTACAGTCACTCATCACTTACCGTTCATGGTCCGGACGATGTAGAGGCCTGTAGGCACAAAGTGCCGGTCATCCCTTCCCGTGTAGCTGAGCTTCGGAGTGCCACTGGAGCCCTTGATGATCTTCATTTCTAACCTGATTAGATTTCCCCAGGTACGTGTGCACACAGGGAGCGAGACAAGAGAATAGGTGCTAACATTAGTCTAGCTACAAGCACAGAGACCTAAGTCAGTCACTCTGAACTCCCAACCAAGCAATGAAGGCAAGGGAGTGACAGATGACCCTGCTGCTATTGCTCTTTGGGGAGCTTCAGGGTGACACTATTAAAAGGGACACCTGGGACGATGAATGCCACTGGGTCTTTAGCCCACCACCCACAGCATTGCTGTGGCCATTGGAGAGCTCCCACAATGAGACTCAGGTCTGCGAGCACCCCACACTGTGGAGAATCTAAAGCCTCATTAATGCCCTTCTGCCCCCTCCAGGCTCAATCTCACTCTCAGCACTGGGAGCTGGGATTTATAGTGTTTCAAGCAGCTTGCTGCTCTGCCCCTCACAGGGACAGTCGTAGCTATTACAGCATCAATAAGCCAGTATTTCTGCCTCACACACCCACCCTGCTCCCCTCCCGAGCGGTGCTGAGTCAGCTCAGCCTAGAGCTCTGGGCTGCTGTGGGACTGCATGGAGGCAATGAGTGGGGGATGGAGGCAGCACCAGGACCAACTCCTACGTTCTGCTACAATCAGAACAAATCCTGACTTGGCCATGCCCCCACCCCAACTCTCCTCAAATCCCCAGCTCACTGGATGAGTTACTCACCTGACAAAAATCTTCTCCATCTCCTCTAGCCTGTATACTTCCTTCACCCTGGTTGGGGGGGAGGAGAACACATGGACAAGGCTGCCTGGACAAGGCTCATCCAGGGTGCAGCTGGCAGGAAGTGTTACACCTGCCCTTGCCCTCTGCTTCAGGCCCTCACTCCAACCACCAGCCCACCTGTGGTACTGCTGTTCTACACAGATGAACCCTGGGTTTCAAAGACGCCACACAAGCCCACCCTGAGGCAGTGGGGGAAAGGGAGCACAGTGGCTCCTGAAGACAGGAGAGAAAGGGAAAAATGTCTGCCAGACAAAACTCTTGCCAGTTCGCCTATTCTCAAGTTACCTTACTGTTACCAGAGGACAGAAATCCAAGGACCAGGCTCTTGGTCAGGTCTGTCTACAGAGACTTTAGACCTTCCTATAGCTGAATTATTCTAAATAGTCCTATTAGCCACAGAGGTCCTGACCAGGGTGCAAGACTCCTGTTTGATGCCTAGCCTCCAGCTCTCACACTCTGGGGGCCCTGAACCTGCCTGGGACCTGCTCTTGGCAAGATAACCAGAGATCTAGCAAGCAGCTAAGTAAGAAAGGCAGGACCCAGGACCTGGTCAGGACCAGGCAGATAGGGAACAGTAAGGGGCAGACAGCTTGCTTTTAGACTTTCACAGGACAGCTACAAAGTTCATTCTCAATAATGGATTTAATTTTAATGAAATTTACATTAAAATGAATAAAAATGACATCAATAAAACACGAATAAACACCTCAGTTTCCAGTAACATAAAACCTCAAAAAGCAGGGCTCTGCAGTGCCCTTTTGGTAATGACCTTAAGACCTGGAGAAGTCTGCTCTCCATCTGTCTTCTCCCTGGCTATTCCCTCCTTCTCTACCCCAAGACCTGGAACTTTCACGCCACCTAACATCATCACAGATCCTGGTTTTCTCCCAAAGCACCGAGGATCCCGCACTCTTGAACCATCCTTCTTTTCATCATCAAGCTCCTATTCCCTCAGAACTCTTTCCTTACCTGCAAAAAAATGACAAGGCCAGGTGCTATGCCAACAACACTCAAGTGTGAATGAGTGACCATGAAGTGTATGAGGGTGCTCAGAAGCACATAATCTTAAACTCTCCATGCCTTAGCCTGGAATGAATTACTACTTGCGGACGTTTGCCACTGTGCCAGACAGGACAGAGATAGATTCTGGGGTGAAAGCCAACTACCTAATGCCCCTCAAACGTCTAGCAGCACCAATCTTGCCTGGTCCCCTCCACTGAACCCTCCCTGGACAGAAGCAGGAAGTAGAAAGAAGCAACTGCAAGCGGGGAGGAGGGAGGAGGGAGGTCATATGCGCTCACCTGATGGGATTCATGTCAGGCCGGCTGGGCTTGGAAACGGCTTTCACAAATTTCTCAGCAAGCTGAATTCTACAATCCAAACGGAGTCCCTCAGAGGCCAGCAAGGGGCCGTTGCCACCATCCTTGCCCCAGCGCATTTCCATAACCACAGGGGGAAGACCTAAGTCTGTACAAAACTGCCCCAAGCAGCAGCCATTCCCCTGGAGACCCACCCTGCCCTTTTCAGGGCCTGTTCTTTCTACTGTCGCCTTCACCATGCCCAATTCGGTCTGGGTTCTAGCCTTTAAATTTCACTGTGTCTTGGCTGGTTCTCCTCAAGTACCCCTTCAGATGTGCCCAGTCACCTTCACTAGAGCTTCAAGTATTCTTATTGTGTCTGCACTGTTACACCAGATCAGGGACAGCAACTTAAATGGGACTATCTCAGCACTGGGCATGTTCTTCAGAGATCCTCCCTCTTCCCCACATGGTCACCCTCTTGCTCAACCTTAACACGAACTATCACCTAAATCTGAGCACCTATGGCAAGATGGAGCACCCTGTTATCTATGACAACGAAGACCCAAGCCCTGGCAAACTGAAATGTCAACACCAAGTTCTTACCCTGCCCTTGGGACCAGCCAGTGCGTGGAAAAGGGAAACTCAAGACAAGCGGTCCACAAGCAGAGAGAGAAGGGGCGGAGCCTCAGGAAGCTGCTGCCCAGAGAGCTGCCCCCACCCACCCTGCCCTCCCTACCCAGGGGCCCGGATCAGACCGCTGGTTGAAGTGCTGTTCCCGAACATCGCTGCCGTTCAGCACAAGGACATCGAGGATGTGGATCGCACTGATCTTCCGCTGAGCCTTCCCCTAGAAGGACAAGTACTCTGGCCCACTATGCCCACCGTGGCCTCCACTCCACTACAGCTGGGGAAGGGAAGGGCCTTTAGAACACAGTGCATTTCTTTGCCTCCCTCCCAGCTCATCTTCAGACTGGTCTGGGCTTCTGAGCAGGGGGCAATCCAAGGTAATGAGTGCAGAGCCTCCAGGAACCTTAAACCCAGTGAGGTTGGTGCCATGCTGCTCCAGCCAGGGCTGACCTCCACCCAGTATCACCTATCCCCACTGACTGCTCTCAGTGTCATCCCTACAGCTATAATACTCAGAGCTCCTGGGAAATGGCAAATCTTCTTTCCAAAAGGATTCCTAGTGGGGAAAAAAAATAAACTAAACTAGCTAAGAAACACCCATTAGGCTCACCAGGGCCCTGGATGTACAAAGACGATCATGGTCTCCTCCGACACACTTGGAGACTGTTCCTTCCTACCTGAGTCAGGCAACTGCTCAAGGAGAAGGAGTAATTACCAAACCTTTCCCCAGCCCCAGGCCCTGTCAACCACCACACAATGTAACTAAAGGCAAAGGGCTAGGCTCAGCTGTGCCCCTGTCCCCTTGCCACAGAGCTGACATGTGAACCATCTCTGACCTCCCCTTTTAGTTCATGCACGATTTCCACAGACAGCAGAGTGTCTCGGGGCAGTTCTGTCTTCAGGTCCAACTTCACCCAGCGGTCTGACTGGCGGCCATCCCATGTGTATATCTGGGACTTCTACAGGCAGAGAGAAAGGGTGAGCATGAGGACTGAGGAATGACAGGCTCAGCTCTCAAAAGGGCTTTTACTTGGCAACTACAAGCTGAAGGGGTTGGGAAATGTCAGAAAACGAGACGAAGTTTGTTAGACTCTCTCCACCGAAAAGAAGGAAAAACCAAACTGGTCCTGCTAATAGGAAACAGGTCTGGGGCAACTTTCAAATGACCTTAAACCATGACTAGTGAGCCTCAAGAAAAATCCAGCTTGATGTATGTTGGAGGCCAGGGCTTGGGGTGAAGGAAGAGGAGAAAGTAAGAGTACGCAAAAGTAGTAGCTGGTGGTCAGGGGCAGGTGGTTCACACCTATCATCCTGGCTACTCAGGAGGCAGAGATGAGGACTACGGTTCAAAACCAGCCTGGGAAAATAGTTTGCGAGACCCTATCTCAAAAAAAAAAAAAACCCATCACAAAAACGGGCTGTTGGAGTGGCTCAAAGTTAAAGGCCCCAAGTTCAAACCTCAGTACCACAAAAAAAAAGGAATGGCTGGGGAAGATCAAATTACATGGAAAGACAGGCAAAGTTGAAATAAAATGCGATGACTTCACCTAGTAAGATGCAGAACTTACTGTGACCCTCCCTCACCTCATTTTAGCTTTTAAGGACCCAGGGAAAGGGGTTTCTTTGCATGACAGGAGAAGACATAGGGGGGTGGTGGTGTTGCAAAGCACTGGCTACATGGGTTTAGCCAGGTGCTGACCATACTTCTGGGCTGGGAGGTCTACATCCCAAGAAAAGCAGCAGCATTCCCTTTAGCAAGGAAGAGCTGAAGAAACATGTGAATAAATGAAAGAATAAACGAATTACTGTTGGTGAACTCAGAGGAAAAAGGAAATAAAGTTTCAAGAAATACCTCTCTAGGGCCAAAAAACTTCAGTGCCAACAGAACACATGGAGTATGACCAGCGTTGCCACCACCCTGAGCTGTAGGAGGCCAGTTGCAGACTTACCCCGAGACCAAGGAGGAACTTCTGCTCACTGCCAGATACCATACAGCGGTAGTCTAACACAGGGCGAATCTTCTCCAGGGTTTTGGAGGTGAGCAGCGTGGGCTTATAGCTGAAGATGTCGATCTCAGTGCCCTGCAGCACAGGTAAGAGGAAACACTGCTGGGCTGGAGGCAGGCCTGGCAATACAGGTGCCTGTATGGGCTGGGCAGGCTGGGAGAGGCAAGGACAGGAAGCACCTGCTCTCGGGAAACATGCTTCCCTTCGCCCTCTTCGCCATGTAACCAAGCACTAAATGGGATCTATTTCCATCTGCCTGGAGTGTTCCTCTAGAACCTATTAGGAGAGGCTGGGAAAGGAAAGAACCCAAGTCTCCAAGTACAGATCGATTTACGAGCTATAAGGAAATGTCACCAGAATATAAAAGCCACCCCTGAAAACAAGGGTTCTTCAGCAGTTGAGAGCAAGGAGTGGTATCTCCACTCAGAAAAATGTGCATATTATTCTTCTGGGGCCACCTTGAGCCTCACTCTCCAGTCCCTGACCCCCATAAAACTGGCACAACAGCCCATGATCTAAGCCAGATTTAAATAAGCCCCAGGAAAATCTGGAGGCTGGTGACAGAAATAAGCAGGCCAAAGAACTCTGAGGACTAGTTCACCAAAAATAGGCCAGACACCCTGGGGTTAGGCTAGCCCTGCAGATGTTCCTCTGGCTACTCCACTGCCCTTAGGCAGGAGATAGTCTTAACCATTCCACACCCCACATCTCTTCTGTAGGCAAATCCCACAGGACACTTGAACTGGCCAGGGCGTGACAGCCAGCACCATCTTTGGGTGGCAGGAAGGCTGAGCACAGAAGCACATCTCAGGACAGGTATCTTGTCAGCCTAACGTGCTCTTGGGGAACTCTACATCCTACACCAAAGGTTCCCACCTGTAGGACCCTAGTACAAACCCTCAGAGCCCACTTTCCTGGAGGCCACTGAACGCATCTGCAGCCTCAGTAACACCTTCCATACCTAGAGTAAGACTTCACTACAGGAAATGGTCTTACCTGGATTAGCTCGAAGAACTTCGATTTTGGGTCTGAGGAAGAAGGAGCAACTCGAGCCTGATCTGGGATCTGAAAGGAGAAATCAAAGGGTTTTGACGGTCAAGTGCCTTGTTGCTCACGGAAGAGTGTGGAAGAGTGTGTGTACGTAAGAAGATAGGTTCAGACTGCGGAAGAGGACATGGCATCCAAGAAAGAAGGCTGGAGAGGGAGGTGGAGCACATTAACTTTCTGCTCGCCCTCACACCCTGTGGTAGAATGCCCCCCAAACCACATTCTTTGCTCTGGGGCTCTCTGGGTAAGTGTTGCTACACAGGTGAAAGCCAGCCCACCAACCTTGTCCTTCCTGACCCAGCTGGAGGTCAAACTAGCAGTGAGGGCTAAAGAGGTAACTCCCAACAGTGCCAAGGCGACCTGCTCTAGGGCACAACGAAAGTTAGCAGATACTTTCAGGTGGAGCAGGGAGCTGGAGGGGGAGGTGACAATCCCATTCTTAGCTACAGTTTCCCTGCCTACAGCAACACTCGGCTGGGGAGACTTACATCCCAGAGTCGGAGGCACTCTTTCCGGATCTCTGCCTGCCGAGGTTCACTCAGGGTCCTGGAGAAACAAAACCAGTAAGTGATTAAGATCTCTAAGTGCCGCCCTGTGTACCCTTTTGGCTACTTACAGAGGAACTGAGCACAAATGAGTGAGTATATGTACTGGGGCCAGGATGCCACTGGTCCAGAGTGCTGACAGCATACATGGCTATCTTCTGAAGACACTCAGAAGTTCATGAAATGGGACCACCTCCCCTTCCCACTACAAAGGAAGGGAGGTAACTACCCCTGACACACACCTGGAGGTTCCTTATGTAACTCTCTTCCAACATCCATCAGCACATTCTGGTCTCTTTCTGACACAAGCCACATTAACCCCATCCTGGTAGATATCACTATACTGACACCTCACAAAGCTGGGTTAACCCAGGTTCACCCCCAACCAGAGGAAACCTGACCAGTCTCCTCTCTGGACTACTCTTTGCTCTGCATCCCCAAACATGTTTTCTACCTGTGTTTTGTCACTTTATAACCTCTAAGGCACTGTTAGTAACTTTCCTGCATCCTCTTCCTGGGTTACTCTTACCTGCCCCAAGACAACATCAAGTTTTAAGAGGACAAGGTTCACACTGTATATTTCTCTAGCATCCTTCAGAGACCACAGCACAGCATGAGATACAAGAGTGCTTTTAAATGACTGTTGAAATGAAATAAACAAAGGACTGGGGTTCTCGCGTGAAATAGTTGAATTCTGGAAAATGGGCAACACTCACGTGTCTTGAACAAAGGCCTTGATTTTGGCCAGCGCTTTGATCTGCAGACTACAGTGGCTAGAAGAAAAATAGTATTTGATCTTAGAAGGATTACTGAAAAAGATAACCAAGTGACATCAGCACAGAGAAATTTACCTACAGCAGTGGTCATCTATATTTGGGGAAGGAGCCTCAGAGTTGAGAAAGATCAATGCCCTGCCCTGAGGAGCAGTTAGAAGGGGCCCACAGAAGGCTGAGAACAGAGCAGAGCTGAATCAAACCCTCCAGACACTCAAATCTGAAGCCCTGTTAAAGGCAAGGTTCTCACCCACCATAAAAGAATTTGACAGCAACAGTGAAGAAATCCTAAGTAGAGCAACAACAAAGGCCAAACTCAATTCAATTGCAGAGCAGTTGGCAACCCATCTGCACCAACAGCTACCCTTTCTTCTTTAATCACCACAGTTCTTTTATACACGCCTGGCATTTAATGAAAATAATCAAATGATAAAGTAAGAAAACTTGACCCATTGACAAGTGGGAAAAACCATCCAATAGAACAAGACCCAGAGATGGCCCAAATGTTAGACTTCTCGATAGGACTTTAAAATAACTGTGATGTACATGTTAAGAGACCTAATGGAGAGGCAGACAGCATGCACAGAGGTGACGGGGATGTTAGCAAAGACACAGACACTAGATTTTTGAAAGGCAAATAAAAATTCTAGAAAATGGAAAGTATATGGGCTCATCAACAGTCTGAAAGAAAAGGAAAGAAAGATTCACTGAATTTGAGGACAGAAGTCAACAGAGACCCAAACTAAGACATAAAGAGGACCACCTGAGGTTTGTGGGACAGTAAATGTAACATGAAAGTATCTGGAGTCCTAGAAGCAGAGGACAAATTAGGACAAAAAAATACTGACAAGATAGTGGTCAAGAAATTTCTCAAAAAGTGATGAATGAAATCAATTCACAGATCCAAGGTCAGTGAACCCCAAGCAAAACAGGTACCAAGAAAACCACATAAAAATATATCAAGATAAATTTGCTGAAAAGATAAAGGAAAATCGTAAAGCAGTCAAAGAAAAAGACACATGACATATATACAGGGAAATAATAAGAATAATGATGGACAAAACAGAAGACAAGCTGGACATGATCATACACATCTGTAATCCTAACTTCTTGGGAGGCAGAAATAGGAGAATTGTGGTCCGAGGCTAGCCTGGGCAAAAGCACAAGACCCTAACTGATAAAATAACTAAAGCAAAAAGGGGCTAGAAGTGTGGTTCAAGGGGTGGAGTACATACCTACCAAGTGCAAGGCTCTGAGTGAGTTCAAACCCCAGAACTACCACCACAAAAAAAAAAAGAAAAAAAAACCTACATTTCACTAAAAAAGTGTATCTTAATTTTTTTTAAAGAAAGAAAGGAAAGCAGTTGGTTATAGACTGTTTAGACACTCTGTTGCTGGAAGCAGTGAAAGAAGTTCCATCTGTCCTGCCCTGGTCCACACTCACTGCAGCAGCCAACAGCACAACTCAGCAAAAAGAAGAGCGACATATTCCCCAGCACGGAACAAAGTCCAAATTTTGCTGATTCCCTGGGGCCTGTTTTCTCAGTATAGCATGCGGAAGTGCAATGCCTGCTCTGCCTTACAGCCTTGCTATGGAGACGAGAGGGCTTATGTGGCAGTACCATGTAATGGTACAGAAGCATCAGAGCAGAGTGAAGACATCTTTCCTCCTATGACTCCAAGGCCACGCACACCGTGTACTTCAGACTTCTCTGGGAGACTTGGATAAGGCCTCAACAACACCTGCGTGGCCCCTAGGAGAATACTTTCAACCAGATCACCATGACTGTTCAACCCTCAAACCTACCCCAAAAAACATTTTTCTAAAGCCTATCCAGAAAAGAACTAAGCCAACTGTTACAACTTTGAGGTATTATCACTAGCAGGAGCTCAGGGGACACTTAAAGAAGGTAAAAGGGGCTGAAGGTGTGGCTCTATCAGTTGAGCAACTGCTTTGCAAGTGCAAAGCCCTGAGTTCAAATTTCAGTCCCACCAAAGAAAAAAAAAAAAGGAAGGTACAAAACCTGCATCCAGATCACCTATCTAGGGACTCATGGACTTGCCAAAGTTTGAGACTTCCAAAGCATGCTGTGCACTTGCTTTCCATCCATCTCCTGCCTCCAAGCAGGGCATTTTACATGGCAACAACCATGATAGTCTTCTGCACAGAGCAGCAATGAAAGGGGAATTACTCCCACATCCAGAGACACAGGCCTCTCTCTTTCCACAATCAGATTCAGGCTCCTGTGGGTAGGCCTCTATCAGCCAGGCACCCACCTGCTACCTTTGGGACACAACATAAGAACAGAAGAATAGGACAAGTGTCCCCAAAGTAGCCAAAGTTCTAGAGTGCCCTGGAACCAGCAGAGCAAATCCAGGTGACAGTGATACCAACAGCCAGTCATTCAATCCTTCATTCCCTGGATTCCTTAATATCCCAATGGTGACAGCAGAAAACACCAGTTGACTTACCTCTCATTAGACCGAATCATGTAGTCAGTAAATTCATGGTCTCCCTTGATCACCATCAAGGGGACCACAAGGTTGACATCAGAATCAGTGTTCCGAAGCTGATTGAGTTTAATATTCACCGAGAAGAGGTATTCCCGCACATCATCTGTCCCCACCTTCAGGCTTTTGCACACCACATATCTGGCAGGAGACACCCTGTCACTCCATGGAGCAAGGGTTTTTCCCCATACATTGCTTCCTCCAACCCCTCTTAAGTCTATGCTCAAAGGGTAGACAGCACAGGTTCTGCTGAAAATGTTCCCCTCAAATCCCTCCCTTTCATGTGAGGCAGTGAGAGTGGTTTCCAACTGCCTTGTGCTAGACAGGCAGCATCACCATCAGCCAGGAAGTCTGTTAAATTACAGACCTAATAAATCAGACTCTCTAAGAACAGGTGCAGAAATCTATGTTTTTAACAAGCCGCCTGACAATTTTGATTGGTTGTGTTTTCTCTCACCTAATGTGTGGGCACTATGTCTATCCCACCTGCCAGCTATATCTCCGGATGGCAGCCCCTTCCCTGTTCCTCACCCATGTTCCTCAAGTGTCCCTATTATTGGTCACCCTCTCCTGGACCAAGCATGGAGAATAAGGCCTGTAGGGAAGGCAGCAAAGGCTCAACTAGCCCAGCTCAGGACCAGTCAGTCAAGAATCCTGGCTCCTAGGGACTCTAATTACAACTCTAAAGTCAAGGTTTTTAAAGCAGTTTGAGAGGTCATGCCAGAGAAACCCACCAGAATATGTGGCTTCGAATGTGAGCCAACAAACCTGGCTAAAAGAAAGAGGAAAGCTCACCGTTCTGAGTTGGCAGGACGGCTTGTAATGGGCTTGAAGAGACACACTCGCTCAAAGCAGCAATAGAGCAGGTAGATGAGCCCCACGCTGAATGGTGTGAAGAGGTCAAACGTTTTACAGATGAAGTGGCCTCCTGGATTAGGAAGAAAATAGCCCTGGCAGTCAGTGAGTCTATTCCAGGGAGTGGGTGAGGTAGCTTTGGGCAGTAAAAATTACTAAAACAAGGAGCCACACCTGGGTCCATTAAAAGTCAGAGACGACTGATAGGAAGAATCAGCTTTAGAGGGAACTTTGGGGATCCTACTGCCTTTTCTTCCCTAAATTCCTCATTTATCCACCTGTCACCTGATAGCAGGTTTGGTTTTGTTTAAACTTCCCAGCCAACCCCTACACATGCTCTTATCCAGCAGGGACTCTAGCAGATCTGGAGTGAGGAGACAGCTGAGGAAGTGTCACCTGTCCGGACCACGGACAACGCCATGAGGAACTGACACAACAGCAACTGCTTGCTGAGGATCTCCTGCAGGTTCTCCTGCCCCTCCACAGAGAAACCCTGAAATAAGAGCACAAGGACCAGGGTGAGAGAAATGAGGAGGACTGAGAATAGCATCATGAAATTCATCAAAAGTTCATCAAGTATTTCCCCTGATCACCACTACCTGACTGATGAGTCACAGATCAGAATTTACATTCTTCTGGCAAGGTCATGTGGCTGGTTACAGAGGGAGTAAGGACTGGGGTCCAGGCCTAACTACTGAGCCACTGCTGCTTTCCTGACCTAGAGGTCAGGACCAGGTCTGGTTTTCCAACAAATCTTAAACTCACATGGACATCCAAGAAACAGTAAGGCAGAACAGAGGCAGCCATGAAATAGGAAACAGCACAGCCCAGTGAGTCCTTACAAGGCCAGGTAGAAAGTGTCCAGAGAGTACTCTCCTTGAGCTCACTAAGCCACTGCACTAACCACTGAACAGGCCCTAGTCTGGTAAAAGGAGAAAAGTTAGCACAACTGTGATAGTCAGAGTAATCTCTTTGTTGACCCAGGTTTTACTTACAATACCCTCTTACCCTGTTCTAAGGCCACAGAGCCTTTTCCCTCCAACTGGCAGACTCACTGGCCAGGGTATCTCCTCAAAGAACGTTTGCTACTATTCCTAGAGCATCTCCCTCCTTGTGGACTCAAGCATATGAAGTACAGACGAGAGCCAAGCTCGCACAGAAAAAAAGGAGGCCAGGCAATTGGGAAGGAAGGAAAAGAACAGTTGTTTAATGGTACACTTTCAGTTTTGCAAAATGAAAAGTTCTGAAAATTTGCTGTACAACAGTTTAAGAATACTTAACACTACAGAACTCTGCACTTAAAAATAGTTAGGATGATAAATTTTATATTATGTGTCTCTTACAATAAAAAAAGAAAAGAAAAAAGGTTGGTCTGTTAAGCTGACCCCAGCCAGGCCAGGTGTTCCTGACTCAGTCCTACAAAAACAGTAACTAAACAACTCAGAATCAAAAATGTTTACCTATGTCTCCTAGACTTATAGATGCTTCTCAAAATCCATGTTTGTTTATAAAGTCAATAAAAATAAAAACAAATAAAAAGTTCACATCAGCGCTCCCACTGCCAAAGTCCGTGGCCAGTTCATGAACACTAGCAGACCCTACATCTGTTCAACAGGTGCAGCCCCTCTTCCAGACAGCCCACCCTGTCCACCTGCTCTGCACCACACACTGGGGCGCCAGGGCATCTCCAGATCCCTCTGACACCCTACTGCCTGCCTTCACCCTCCTCACAGCTGCTGCTTGAGAGGCCACCCACAAAGCTTCCAAAGTCTCCTCAATCTTAGCCATTTATGACCCAGAGGCACTGCCACACTGCCTGTACTTCCTCCAGAGTAAGTGGTGGCTCACTCCAGAAAGGATCACTGCAGGGTGGGATTGCACCTCAAGCAGCTGCCCAAAGACAAGGCCCCTTGAACATACCACTTTGGCCCAGCCACTGGAAGAGCCTCCATGGATTCTCCTGAGCTGCTGCCTTCGCTTATGTGGCCTTCTGTCAGCATCTGATAAGCTCAGGAGAGACCACACAGAGATAACCTCCACCAGGAGCAACACCCTAATGACACAGGATGGCAATGTGCTTCCCACTCAGTTTGCCTAGTTGATTTTAGTCACAGTCGGTTGCTCAACAGGTCTCACAGCCAAGCAAGACCCTTTAAGAAAATGAGCTAAGTTCCACCTTGCTTCAAGCTAAGTGTCCACAACATTGCAGTCTTTGCAAAATTACAGAAAATATATACACACAATAGATTAAAAAATGAACATCTCTACTATCTGAACTGTGAGCTACCATTTTGGGGGGCAGCTGAAGAACCAAACCAAACAAATTAACAAATCCCTAAAGTATCACTATGGAGAGAAGGTCACCTACCCCATCAGCCATCAGAAAGTGGACACCCTTGCGATCTGTGTTATCCAGGACGAAATTCCGAAAAGCAGAGATATTCTCCGGGCGGGTAATATCTCCATCTCCATTGATTCCACCCTCACCTGGTAGCACACAAGATTCCCCATGAGTTCATCCACCCTGAACATCCTAGGAACTGGGACATGAGCAGTCTGGGACAGTGAATATAGGTACAAAATGAGTCTTGAAACCTGTGACCGGTCCTGCAAGGCTCCCTTATAGTAATGAACCAAAAGGAAGAACCTACTCTAATAAACCAGCCAAGTTGTTTCATTAACTGAAACTGAGGACCTTCCTCTTCAAGGCCCATGTAGTGTTTAAGGCACCTATATGTAAAACCCAGTATCACCCTTATACTAAAGATTGTTAAGAAAGGATTTATGCTAGGGGTGGTAATGCATGCCTGTAATCTCAACCCTTGAGAGGCTGAGGTAAGAGAATCTTCAGTTCAAGGCCAGCCTGGCCTACACTGTGAGCTCAAGGCCAGCCTGGGCTGTACAGTGAGACCCTGTCTTTAAAAAAAAAAAAAAAAAAGACAAAAATAACAGCTTCGAATTTGCGCAATAATCAAGCCAGAGCGCAGAGACTGCTGTGGGCTGCTGAGTTGTCTTCTACCCAGTGCATTCCACACCCAGCACACAGGGCTGGAGATGGGAGGGCGGTTTATGTTTGTTAATAACCCTGCCAGTTCTCAGCCAGAGATCAGGCGGTTTCATTATCTCCGTCACCACAAGAGAAAAGTGCTTCTGCAAGGCAGAATTAATATGGCTTTGATGAGAGTTTTTCTAGTGGAGTGTTTAATGTATTCTGCAGGCGTGGGGTAAAAAGGGACAGTCCAGAGGAAACCAAGACCTTCACAACAGGGACCGTGAACCCCAGGCCAAGAGACCTAGGAAAGAACACATGGTATGTGGATGACAACTCCTTTTTCCCTGAAGTCCTCACAAATGGGCTGTCCCTCACACCTCCTCATCCTCTCCCTGCTCAGTGTCCCTACCATAGTAGGGTTCGAAGAGCTCACTGGAGGCCGAGTAGAAATCTTCCAGCTTGAAGTCATGAGGGCCCTTCAGAGTCATCCCAAAGCCCTTTGCATGCCACTTCTTCCTCCACAGCACATACTCTGAGAAGCCACCAGGGCCTGCGCAGACATCAGCAAAGTACAGAAGCTCGGGGCCCCGGTCCTTCACCAGTTGATTCTGTAAAGAGAAATGGAAAAGCAAGACAGGGAAAAAAGATGGCTTTAATGTGACGGTGCTGGTGCCGGTGGCTCACACCTGTAATCCTAGCTACTCAGGAGGCAGAGATCAGGAGGATTGAGGTTCAAATTCAGCCTGGGCAAATAGATCGTGATACCCTATCTCGAAAAACCCATCATGAAAAAGGGACAGTGGAGTGGCTCAAGGTACAGGTACGTGTACACACACACACACACACACACACACACACACACTCTCTCTCTCTCTCTCTCTCTCTCTCTCTCTCTCTCTCTGGCTCAATGAGGAACAGGAAGGAAAACACAGGAAGAGTAAATTAAGCCCATCAGCAAGGCTAACCCAGAGCTCCTGCCAGGACCACAACACCCAAGAAATTGTCCTCTGTGACCATCGCTCTCTGGAATCTCCCAGTGCACCCCAAGATACACCCAAAGCCTTTCACACCACTAGGCCTAGCTCAGACTCCTAATAAAAACATCTCTGTGGGTATCTGAAAGGCATTTTTATTTCTCAGGATCTTCTCTTAACCATGTTCTGACTTCCATGAGTCCTACTAAGCAGAATAGATGCTACATGCCCCATGTTACAGATCGGAGAAAAGAGGCACCAACATACAAAGCAACCTGTCCACAGCTAGTCTGCAATACAGCTAAACCAGAATCCAGGTGCCCTGACTATTCCCCTTGTCCCTGGAGCTCTAACATCATCCCTTCCCAGCTACAAGGACCTGCCATTCGCTCCTTCCTCTCTGGCTCTCCCCAACTTTTTGCTTCCGATTAAGTTTTTTATGGCAGTACTAGGGTTTGAACTCGGAGCCTTGCACTTGCTAGGCAGGCACTCTAGCACTTGAGCCACTCCACCTGCCCTCCACTTACTCCACCTGCCCTCCACTTAACTTTTTATTTTAGAATAATTTCTGATCTACACAAAAGTCACCAAGATAGTGCAGAGTTCCTGTACCCTTCACCCAGTTGCCAGTTTTGTTAATACCATTGTTTGGCAAAACTCAGAAACTAGCATTAGTATGTTACTGTTAGAAACAAACTCTAGACTTCATTCTAATTTTATTAGCATCCTTTTTCTGATCTAGGAGCTGATCCAAGACACGCTACCACATCGGGTCTCCCTGTTTGGCTCAGCAATGGTCTATATCTTGTGTTTACACTTCTTTGTAACACAAATGCTCTTACTCATTCCTGAGTCTAGACCTACTGCAACAAAGACAGATCATCTGCATGGGCGATAAGAGAGTGAGCTCTGGAAATGGGTGTCCACAGAGAGGCCTACAATTGCTCTAGAACCATGAAGAACATCCAGGGAAAGAGGCCCAGGAACCCTAGCTTTTCCTCTCTACAAGCTGGGCAAGGCTGAGAGCTTGTCCAGAGTTCTGCAACTGCTAGATAAAGATCAGTAGGCTTAAAGTTATAAGAAAGAGACATACTAATGCTCACAACTCAGTCACTTCTAGGTGACAAGGGTCTTGTCTGAGATGATAGCTATCCAGTTTTATCAAAACAGTCTAAGTCTCTGAAGAAAGTGACATTAGCTAAAAATAAATTTCATCACCCTGTGACAAGCCCACCCTAGGCATGCTGGGACATATCAGTTCTTTCCAGCTTCCTCACTACTTCTCTCCAGCATTCTTTGTTCTTGATCCATTAATTATTCATATTTTCAGATTATATTAATTTGCACACAAAAAAAAGACCTAATGCCATTTATCAAGAACATCACGTAGCATTTTCCAGTCAACACAGTGGTGACGACTCATGGGCCAAAAGTTTAAGCCCTACACCTAATGCAAAGAGGAAAAACAAAGTTCCTGGTGTGGCATTGGCCCCAGACTCCAGCCTAAGAAAACCTGGGGGTAGGAAGGGCAATGACTCAACGAGAGCACCTCACTTCTCGTAAGACAGCTTAAATAAATTTGATCTCATCCCTGATTTCACAAGCCACGGCCAGCAGTGTTCACAGAAAGGACAACTGGGATTCTCAGCTTTGCCACTTACTAGCAGCACAGTCAAGGAGAAGCACAAAATTTAAGTCACTAACTTCAAGCTTCCTAACCTATAAACTGGGACTGACACAGTACTCACTTCTCAAGGCTTTTGTCTTTCTTTTCCTTTTTTTTTGTGGCACTGAGGTTTGAACTCAGAACCTCATGCTTGCTAGGCAGGCACTCTACTGCTTGAGTCACTCCAACAGCCCTATGAAGACTTTTGTAAGATTAAATAAATCATGTTATGGTCAAAGGTCTTCCTAAACTGTAAAATATTCACAAATAAAAATATATTCAACTAGATAACTTCTCTGGAGTGAAAACCTTTGTCTTTCTCTGTATTTGTCTGTGTAGTACTCCACACCCCACAGGTGCTGTAATGCTGCCTAATTTCCTCTAAGACAGGACTGAAACAGCGCATTCAGCTTTTGTCTTATTACACCTCACAATGTTTTCTTATCCCTTCAACATCCCTAGGCACACAAATCCCTCACATACTGTAACAGTTTATACTGTTTCCACACACCCCAAGAATCTAAACTCCTTTCCTTCTCTCGTTTCATTCAATTCTTGCCTCCAATTTCTTTTCCTCCCCGAGTCTTTTCTCCTTCTACCACAGCCTGTAGCACGAGATTAGGACACTTGTTTTAAAATTTCAGACCTTCCCCCACCCACACGCTACTCCAAGCTTCAAGTTCTCTGATTCTTAGTTTATAATTTGCTTGATCACAGAGTCACTAGGACCCTAGCAAGCCTGGGTGGTGCCTGGGCCTCCAGCCACTACCACCTCTGTTGAGGCCTGCTCTGGTGGCCCTGCTCACTTAGAAAAACATACCAAGCCTGCTGAGCTTGGCTGTCACTCTGGTCCTTGGGGGAAAATGGAGAGGAAAATAGAGAAAAAAACACTGGAGGCTTGAGAGAAATCACTTTTTATAGTGGAGTGCAGAAAAACATCTCTGAAAGGGCAATTCTCCACGGCCACTAACAATCAATTCAGGTCAAGAGGCTGCCTGAAATGTTATAAACACGGCTGCCTTTTCCTGTGTAACTGCCATCTCCACCTCCAACCTGAATGGTACAATCCTGGTGCCTACTTCATTTTCATGACAGCCAAAGACAATAACCAGAGACCAGCTGCTGGAGGCGTTTACATTCAAAAGCCCCAAATGATGCTGTGACTTCCCGTCAGCTTAACGGGGCTCCTCTGCCAGGCAGGGGTTTAAAGGAAATCATTGGGAGCTCAGAAAACTAAATCAACATTATATCAACCTAATTTTCTCAAGATGCTAATTCCAAGAGCCCTTTTGTGCTGCCTGCTGGTCCTGGAAAATGGGGAGAGAGCCCTAGGAGAGAAAAATGAGTAAAGGCTGGAGGGCTATGCATGCCAGTTCCGCCAGCATGGAACAAGTAGTTAGGCAGGTGGAGCTGAAACACTGAAGAACTTGGAAATAAGCTTCTTTAGCCAGTGGGTAATTGGGGGTCTAGTAGAATGAGGGTGAGTGAAGCAGAAATGGGACTGGGGGGAGCTGGCTCCTGGCACTGTCATTGTCAAAGAAAACTAACTTTCTAGGACTGGGTAAAAATGCTTTGAAACCCGGAAGAGAATGTTAGAATGAATTTTCCCTTTTCGCTTTCTCTGTCATTATGCAGGGTCGGTGTTCAGAGAAACGAGATGTAGCAGAGTAGAAAATCATTTTGCTCTACCACTTCTTGAGAAGGGCCAAAGCCTCCTAATTATGATCCCACACAAAGCTTGTTCAGAGAGGTGGAAGGAGGAAACGGCCCCTGAAATCGCAGGTCTTAGAGCCTTCTGGCACACTGGGGCACTCCTGGGATCACAAGAGCACTGTGGGACTATGTGGGGAGCTCAGAGCAAAACACATCTCTATTGCATAGCGCAAATAGTCTCACGTTCAACAAATGACAATTTCTGAGCTAATGAAGCTGAAGTCCACTCAGCAACATGAATTCTCACCCCATAGGCATCCCGTGGATTTGTAAACATGCGATCAAACACAAAATCCATGTTAGCCATCTTCATCGCTGCCCTGCAACAAAGCAAGACAAAAAGGTGCATCTCAGTTTCCGGTATGGAAAGCTGAGGTTCACATTAAGGTGGGACGGGGCATGGAGGGAGGGAGAGAAGGTTAACAAACCTGTTAAGGAAGAAGACTCCTCGGATCATCTCGTAGGGATTGGCCCGGGTCCGGGCTCGTCGCATCTCCTCCCCATCCAGGATGTCAAACACACTCTGCCCAAAGAGAATCTCCAGGTTAGCATCATCCCCACCCCAGGACTGGGGTCTTAACTCCAGAACTCCAAGGAGCTGGGCCCCTGCTTTGCCTTAATTCTGAAAGTATTGTTCTGTGACCCTGACAAGCTGCTCGATCACTCTGACCTTCAACTACCTCACCTGGAAAGTGGTAAAACCAAAAGGTAGCAGGTGCCTGGCGTGTGGTAAGCGATGTAAAAAAGTAGCACCCCCTTGCTACACACACAGCCACTTCTTGGCATTGCTAATCCTCACAGCAATCATTACCCCACACCAGCAGCAACTTCCCAGGGGACCCAAGTTGTGACACTTAGGCCCTGTTGACTGGGACTCACTTAAAGAAAACAAATCAAGAGCAGGGTTTGTAATAGCACCTAGTGCGCACATAGTAGATTCCTTCTGCCCTCCAACCTTCACTCTAGGAATAGACATCCTCACTTTAACTGGGATCCCATCACCTTATGGATATTCCCAAACCTTTTCCTTGAAAAAAATAAGCAATATGAGACTGTTGTGAGGTCTGTGTTCTTCTCCAACTCACTTCTTTCTCAGAGTTTCCCTGGCTCATTCTGCCCAAAGCATGTACTTCCTGACCTACAATCAGGTCAAAAAATGTCAAGCGGAGGATGACATGCTGCACAGCCACCATTTCATTTAACTCTCACACCACCCAGAGAGGTATTTTCTCCCAATCTACAGATGAGGAGACTCAGAGACTCTGAAGCAATTGGCTCTAATTCACACAGCAAAACATAGTAGAATTAGGGTTTAGACTCGGGTTTATCTCATGCTAAAGAATGATTCCAGGTTGGGTATCAGTGGCTCACACCTGTAATCTCTAGCTGAGATTGGGAGGCTTGAGGTTCAAGATTGTGGTTTGAGGCCAGCCCATGCAAATAGTTAACAAGATCTCATCTCCAAAATAACCAGAGCAAAATGGACTGGGGATGTGGCTCACGTAACAGAGCTCCTGAATGCCTGTTTTACAAGTGAGAAGGCTTGAGTTCAAACCCCAGTACTGTCAAAAAAAAAAAAAAATTATTCCAAACCTTTGGCTATACCAGTCCTCCTCATGAATTATAATGAACTCACCCAATGAAGTTAAATGAATTCCTTCCTGGCTACCGACCACATGAGCAGCACAATACTAAAACACTACAAGGTCAGATAGTCATGAGGGAAAAAAGACACCTTGGAGAAATGTGTCAAGCTACAGATCTGCTTTCCAGGAAAAATCTTAATAGCCCCCAACACACAAACATACATGGATTCAAAAGAAGAGATGGAAAAGCCCAGCCAGTCACCTCACACAAGGGTTTCATGCCTGGCTCTAGTAACAAGGCCTTCCTTACCTTACATTGCAACACACTATGAAGCAGCTCTTCCCCACAAAACTCTGTTTCATCTTCAATAATCATCTTTCTCTACAGGAGGAAAGAAAATAATAAATAACGTTCAAGTGTGACTGTATATAGGGTAGGGGTGAATGGAGAAATTAGGGTTCTGAGTGAGGAGAGCAAAAAGAGGCTTGAGTCCCTGCCAAGAAAAATCAGTCCCTGAAGGGTGGGAAAGAAACAATCCCAAATCCCTCTAGCCATACTCCAGATGGCTCTGAGAGGAAGCAGGCCCCTGGGAGCTCTGAGTAGAGCACCATATGGATACAAGACTCGTGAATGCTGAGGCTGAGAAAAGGAGATGTGCAAGCTGTCTGCCCCTAAAGCAGGGAGGCAGAAGGATGGGGAGTGCCCCAAATGACAAGCTTGTTCTTTAGCCAGAAAGCCTCTTGTTCTAAGATGAGTACAAATGCTTGATATCAAGCCTGGTAACATTATAGAAAACAAGGGCTCAAAGGGGCCCTTGTCAAGTCCAGCCCTATCTAAGTGTGACTACCTCTAAATTTTGTGATGTTAGGTTTTATACTTTGAAATCATTGACATGGCTTGTGGGGGGGGGGGTGTTCGCTCTGTGGTAGCATTTTTGCCTAGGATATGTGAGGCCTTGAGTTCAATCCCTAGCACTACCAAAAAAAAAAAAAACCACTGAGGACTCCAAAGAGTTTTTGTTTACCTGAGTTAGACAGATAGAAAAGAAATTAAAACTGAGATTTTAGTATTTCTTAATTCAGTTTAAAAAAGTAATGTTTAAAATAAATATTTTTATGAAAAATAGCCTTAATTAAAAAAAAGTTTAGCAAATAGTTCTATTTTCCATTTTTATAAATCTCTTCAATGTCTAGCTTAATAAAAAAGCTAGAGTCTCTTCCCTGCTTTTGCATTTCAATTCCATGTTTTAGCACATGTCATAGCCTCTGGAAAACTCTACTGGACATTTATGGAATAATGAGAGTGAAAATGGCATCAACATCATTTTGAAGATAGTTTTGACCCCATGGACCCCCCCTGAAAGGGTCCTGTAGATCCCCAGAGGCCCCTACACTTTGAGAAATGCCCTCCAAACCACACTGATTTGATAGCCATCTACTTTATTCTTATGATTTTCAGGAAGGAGATTAAACAAATTCCCTCTGTAACAATTTCCTCATTTCTTTCTGAGGACAGAACAGTCTCTTTTCATCTACCTGGAATAGTACCCAGCAGTGACAAAAACATATACAAATACATAATAAGCTACTCCAAAAAGCATTCACAGGGAAGAAAGAGAGGTTATAGCTTTTGTCTGCCTTGCAAATTAAATAACTAGAAAAAAAAAACCTGTAAGCTACCTCTCCCAGTGGCATATCTATAAAGCCTTTAACATGTCCTTTGACACAGCTTTATTTCTACCAAAATGGTCAGTTTCACATTTTTTTGTAAGTTACAAGTCTATGTACACACTCTACTCAAGGAGGAGAAAAGTCAAGAAAGGGACAAGTTGGGGTACATTTTCCTGAAATCCTACCTTTCCCACAATCATCCAATCGCTCATTTCCTGAGTGTCAGGAATTTCGGTTGTACATTCTGGGAACCATGACACCTGTTCACAGGCACTGGGCTACAAACAAAAGAGAGGAAGAAAGTCAGGTAAGACAGACCTTTTGGGCTATGCCATATGCACCAGGGCTTCCCCAAAACAATCCAGAGGGACTCAGATAGACAAAGAAATGTCCAAGTTGTTGAAGCCAATGTAGTGGTCAGATATGAGAAGTGAGAGCCAGAATTCTGCAGTGTGACTTCTGAAAGTCAGCTCCAATTCTGCTGTGAATCCTTTAGAAACTCTGGAAATCTCTAAGGTTTCTTTCATTTGTTCCGATTTTATTTGCTGAATACTTACTATGTGTAAGTGCTCAGAATACAAAATTAAGTAAGACAAGTCTTTGACCCAAAAGGTTTAAAATCACAGTAGTGAAGATACAGAGAAGTAAACAGGTGATTGTTACATATAATGTAAGTCTTTGAAATGGCAATTACGTCATTGCATTACTGGCAATGAGTCTCACCTCCAGATACTCAAAGTGCTAGTCACAAAATAAGCCAGATATTGAAGGGGGGGAGTGGGAGGGGGTGGAGTGGGTGGTAAGGGAGGGGGTGGGGGCAGGGGGGAGAAATGAAACAAGCCTTGTATGCACATATGAATAATAAAAGAAAAATGAAAAAAAAAAAAACAAACCTCAGTACTGTCAAAAAAAAAAAAAACAAAAACAAAAAAAAACAAAATAAGCCAGAAACTAGTAGATTATATTCCTCCCCCACTGATTCCAACACAGAACAGAAAGTGGTAGCTCTAATGGCTGCTTCCTTTTAACTTTTCATTGCTTTCTCTAACAAACAAAACTGGTTCTCACTCTGACTGTACATTAGGATCTCTTTCAGAGAGCTTTTAAAGAGTACTGGTGCCTGGGCCCTACCTCCAGAGTACATATGATCCTATTGCTCTGAGGTGGAAACTGAACATATGTTTTTTTAAAGTTCCCAAATAATTCTACTGTGCATCCAGGACTAAGTACCATTGGGCTAGAGCAACATGGATTATAAAACCTAACCAGGTGGCTACCCTGCATGGCAGCTTCACAGATTGCCTCCCAAGCCAGTTGGAGAAGAGATTCACCGTTGCAACTTGAAGCAATGTGATTAAAGGTAATACCACATGCTCTGAAAGGTACAAAATGGTATCACGATGCAAGGTCTTGAGGGCAGACCAACCACCACAAACAGAGAAAAGCTGAAAAGAAAAACTACTGAAGTCTTTTGTCCATGAATCTGGCAGTGAACCATGGATTCTTTCCCTAGTGTAATCTATCACCTTTAAGCAAAAACGTAAATTATAAACTGTACAAAAGAAACGGTACATACACACATTGGATGCTCCTTTCTTGAGCAAAAGCAAACTTGATCTCCCCATGGAAGCCTGCCCATTAAGGCTACCTGCAGAGTGGACTTTGTCCAAAGGGTCAAACTTTAAACTATACTCCTGGGGTCTAGTAGCCACTGAGCACTTTCCATGCCGTGACCCCATGACTGGATAGTCATCTCAGCCCACCCAGACTCATCTGCCTTAAAGAAGTGGCTACCAACTGAGAGGGGGCCAAACTCTTACTTCAGGCATCTTTTGTAAAAAAAAAAAAAAAAAAAAAACTGAATGGTAACTGAAACAGCCTCACCCCAAAAAAGAATTTCAATGGCTTATCTCCATGATGAAAGGAAATTTTATGGGTAAATTTCAGATTTTGAGTTTAACAAAGTTCATTCAAATTCTGCCCCACTGAAAGAACTGCTACTGTATTTGTATGTACTTGCTTTTACACAAATGACAATGAAATGGAATGCTCTAGGTATTTGTGAAACAAAAGTCTACATCTAACATCCAATTATAAGTCTTTACCCTGCACTTTCTTCTCTGCTATTCTGCTGGTTTCATCTCCTCAGAGCTACAAGGTAGCAAGACTATCCCCAGAACCTATTAGCTCCTAGCTTTCGAAATCTTACTCTGAAGCCTTACTAGACTTTGTGCATGAGTTCACTGGTGTTCTTTCCTGATCTGTAACAGCAGGGAAACTGTTGTCTGAAGCTATCTGCAGCAACTATGTAGTAGGGAAGACATTTGTGCTCTATTTTGTCTTATCTCAACTTAGTAATAGTAATATCTTACTATGATTTTTAGGTGCTCCTAACCACTAGATCACTCAAACAATGAGAGAGTGGGTTTTCACTTATCCCACTTCAATCTTTTCAGCAGAGAGAGCTCACTACCTGTGAGTTAAGTTTCTTATTCTACTAGTGGAAACCTGCACTATTTAAATTGAAGATCTTTGTGGAGCCAAACTCTGACTTCTAGAATCTTTTACCTATAGGTCTTAGAGAGTCCTAGAAAGTAACAGGAAACAAACTGGTCTTATGTTTTCCATTCTGGACATTCCCATTACCTTCTATGTAAGAAACTAGTCCAACCCTACCTGTACTGCCTCTGGAGAGTTCTAGCTTGTAAATATGGTTTCATAAACATACAAACATACAAAAATACCCAGCGGCTTTCCTGTCTCTTCCTCCCCTCACCAGTTACCTCTGGTTCATCCCGCCAGTCCACGTTCAGCTCCTGATCAAAGCCTCGTAATGTTAGACCCAAGCCTCTTCGACCTTTCTGATTAGAGGCCTCAACGATGTCCTTCCGACCCTGGCTGTATTTACCCAATCCTTCACCTTCCCTGAAGCCCATCTTGGCCTGAAAAGGAGAACACAGCAGCACAATTAATTCAGTCCAACAGACATGTATTTAGCCCTATCACAGGCCCTTACCAACCTGGAGAAATACAGATGAGCAAGGCCTACTGCTTTCTTGCCTAAAGAAGAAAAGAAGCATAAATAACTACAGGCCCAGTGACTATCTATTCTGCAGGTGAAAGTCTAAGGCAACCGGAAGTTGGATAAATGAGAAGGGACTGCATAACTGTAATTAAAAGAACCAAGAGTACTTAATGAATCTCACTGGACATTTGCACAACTTTCCCTTCTAGCTAATTTGTCTGATTAAGTGAAAAGTAGATCCAGAGTAGAGTTGATAAAAAGAACATAATTCAAAATAGAACAGCTTCAAGCAGTAACTTCTACCTCCCCTTAGCCAAGCAGCCTTACCAGGCAAAGACAAGGAGGGCTTGCAGGAGCCTACTTAAAACATTAACTGGAAAACTTTCTTCATGTAAAGCTGAGGCATGGAGGGTACTACAAGGTTCTGGGACAAAAACCCCTTTTTAAATGTCACAATCATCTACAAGCTCACACTAAACTCTTGAGTTACAGGTCCAAGATGCATACCTCAAAGATCAGAGACCCAAATCCCAAACCCACAGACTCTTACCTAATCAAAGAATTCCAATCCTGAAAAGAACTAATTCCTCATAGAGAGTCTACATTCCCTTTGGGAGCAGAAATCCCAGCTCAAGAGCTGGAGGATATCCCTACAGTAGCCACAAATCCTTCTCCAGGTCAAAGAGGCTAAGTCACAAGCTTCCCCATCTTTCCCTTCTCCAAAACTTGTGGTCTCCAAACAAGAATCCTGACCTACACCTTCAGCAGTGACAGTTCTTATTCTTAAACTATTCCAGTAGAAAATAAAGGAGTCAACTATGATATTCCTGTAAGCAGAAGAAAACCTGGTTTTTCCTAAACTTTGTCCTTCTTCTGATAGATCAATGTTATGAACTGGGAAAGAGAACTGGACCTTCTTTGGAAAAAGACCATGCTAGTACCATTTATTTTAGGCACCTAGGAGTGAACATGAGTTTAGTAAGATTAACCTTTTAAGATTACTCACTGAAGCCAAAACTCACAGCATAAAGTCTCTTTATCCACTGACACATATCCATGTTTAGGGGAGTATATTCTTAGGTGTTTATAAGAATTCATTACAAAGAATATAAAAAGGTGATCCAGTTCTGGAAAGAACAGGAAGTTCTGAAAACATGGTTAGTATATAAGACAGTGATAGTCACTAAATCATTCCTACCATCGGTCACTTCTCTCTTAACATACAAATGAACTCATGCCAGGCACCAATGGTGCAGCAATCAGGAGAATCACGGTTCAAAGCTAGTCCAGGCACATAGGTCATGAGACCCTATTTCAAAAAAACCCATCACAAAAAAGGGCTGGTGGAATGGCTCAAGGTGTAGGCCGTGAGTTCAAACCCCAGCACAAAAAAAAAATAAATAAATAAAAACCCAGTCTAAGCACTGACATACCATAAGCTTCTGAGAGAAACTATTATACATGGAGTAGCGAGAAGATGTTCCTTCCACAAGGGAGTCTGCTTTGAATGCATCATCAAAAGAGTCAGAACTGAGCTGTTTCCCCTCGGTCTCACTGTCAGACTCACTAAGGCTGGTAGTAGATGCTGGAAAATAAAAAGAAGAAAGTTTAGGTGAGTTTATGTCACAAAATAGCCTTTAGCAGTCCAAGTTTCATTTATTCAACTAGTATTCAGTATACAAACTGCATTTAATGAAGCTCATTAAATGACCCAGGGTCAAAACTACTCTCTACCTCTTATTAGCTGTTGTATCTGAGTCAAATCGATAGAGTCCCTAATGGTTCTTGACATTGGGAAATAGCAGTTTTTCTTCCCCATCTTTTCAGTTTACTTCAAGTGATACCTACCTCACAGGATTGTTTAAAGATTAAATGAAACAATATATGTAAAAGTATAATGTCAAATATAAAGTGTATTTACTGAAAATATACTGCTCTTTATGTTGCTTTATTACTAAAAACATCAATTTCTAAACATTGGTGCCTACCGCCATTTTCAATGATTTCATCGCAGACTACCAGTTTCTGATTCTTTAATCTTGTAGTCAGTTCTCTGTTTTCATAGTTCTTCAAACTTATAGGCAAGAGAGTGGGTTCACACTGCAGCCCACAGAATCACTGGCTCATAGGGAAAGAAGAGGGGAAAGAACAAAAGGAAAGAGGACAGAGGAGGGGAAGGAAAAGAAGGGAAAAAAAGGAAAGAGAGGAAAGAGAGGGAAAGGGATAGAAGCTCCAAAAGAACCACTAACTGAGGAAGAAAGTAAAAGAGATGCAACTAAACAAACCAGGAGAGGCTGGCGGCCTGACCAAGCTAAACCATCATCTTCATTGTCAACAAACTTGTCAAGGAATTCCAAGTAAGACTCACCTCCAGTCAGAAGTGAGGGTTATATGTCCCAGAATCAAACTGAGATGAGCCTTTGTCTGGATATTCACTATGACTAGCTCTTCCCTCCCTTACATACGTATATAAATCTACTAACTTGAAAGCTAGTTCAATCCAGTGTCATTTTATTCAGTGAGTTTCTCAGATAAACTTACCTAAATTTAGAAACAGACTGTATCTCAAAAAGTTTGGTCAAGCCAGGAACTGGTGGCTCACACCTGTAATCCTAGCTACTCAAGAGGCTGAGATCAGGAGGATCAAGGTTTGAACCCAGCAAGGCAAATAATTCCCCAGACTCTATCTCAAAAACACCCAACACAAAAGAGGGCTTGGTGAAGTGGCTCAAGTGACAGAGCACCTGCCTCTCAAGCATGAGACCGAGTTCAAACCCCAGTACCATTACCAAAAAAAAAAAAGTTTGTTCAACAATTTCTACATACTCTCATTGAAAATGGCATAAATTGCAAACCAGGAGAAATACAAATCAGGAAGTGAGGGTGCTGGTATCCAATCTGATTCAAGGCTTAAGAAATGGGATAGTACTCGACAGTGCATACATCTCATTAATAAGTAATTGTGGTTATTTAAGGATAAAATTAATTTTCTTTCAATTTATGTGTATTACTCTTTCAAATGTTTATTAGCTATTAGGATACAATTACTTGTTATTCAAATTTAAAGAATTACTTAATAATCTGAACTGTTGGGTACTGCTTTTGACTCAGAAACATGATTAAAAAAAAAAAAGTTAAGGCAACATTAAGAGTTTCTTACCAAGAACCCAGAAAGTCTGAGATACCTGCTATCTGCTTTGAAATAGATCACAAAGACACACTGTCAAAAAAAAAAAAGAGCAGGACCACATGCAGGAGCATGACATCCTGACACTTGTGTACTAAAGAGGGGAAATATAATTATATATTTTTATTTATCATAATTGCATTGTAAGGAAAGATACACAAGACCAATAAAAGTGATTATGCACACATGCAGGGGTTGGGGTATGGAGGCAGAATACCAAAATGATTACTTGAACAAATGAAAGAAGTGAAACTTGATTTACAATTTCACATCAGAAAGAGGATACACTGGCTATCTTTTGATACTTTTGAATTATAAACCATATAATACAATACCTATTAAAATGTAAAATACATATAAAAAAAAGACTTAGCAATGTGGCAATGTGGCACAATTTCCTTGAGGAAGAAGGGAAGTAAGTCACTGAGAAAAGAAACTGATTAAAGCCCTGCTGCTGTGGGAGGTGCTGATGAGCAGGACAGAGCGCATAGTGTAAGACGTTCTGTATCAAACAGAGGCAGACACTGTTCAGTACTCATAACTTGAAGACTACAGCATGATTCTGAAGCCTAAGAGTATTAACCCCATCCCTTTCCCTCAGGAAACACAAACTTGCTAAGGGTTGACATCAGAGAAGAAAGCCTTCCTTAGCACCCAGGCCTGATTCATCCATCCACTGTGCCCCAGTGGCACCAGTATTCATGCCGTCAGCAAAGCACTCGCCACACTGCCTAGAGCCAGTTATTTGTCACATGCTAACCCCACTGGACAAGGTCACTCTGAGAGAACAGGAACTTTGTCATACTCAGCTTTGTAACCCCAACAACCAATCTGAGGCTTTTTGTTTAATAAAAATTAATCAAATGGGTGTGATGCTAAGAAAAAAAGACTTGGGGGGTGGCTCAAGTGGCAGAATGCCTGCTTAACAAGCTCAAGTCCCTAAATTCAAAGGGGAAAAAAGAAAAGTAATTAATGCTTACCACAGTGAATTTAAATATCTGTCAGCCAAGTTCATGTTACCTAAGGATATATTGAATGTATGGCTCCTTATTTCCTCATATAATTAGTACAAGATGTTCATGCCTCCAAAGTTTAAGGATATACACAGAATATCTATATCCTAACAGAGAACTGGGCCCTCCTCCAGCTATGATTTAGCACCATCCCACCCCCAGGAGGTTGAAATAGGATCTGCCAGAGCTCATAGTGCTGATACTGTTTAATAGATCAGATAGCTACTTTGGTTTAGGCCCTGTTCTATGAAAAGCTCACACTATATACAACAGGGTATTGTGCGAAAGTAACAACTGTTAGAAAGCTTAAAAATCTAAGACAAATGTGCACTTTTTAATAATATAACATTTTGCAAAACAAAGAAGAGGCAGGTAAACGTGGGTGAGAAAATCAGAATAAACTCAAAATCAAAATTTTGGCTTCTAATCAGGTAGCAAGGAGGAATTTTGGCTGCAAATGTGCCTGAAATCTGCCTCTTCCTGTTAAGATGCTGTCCAATTCTCTTAATAAGGAAATATCTTGTTTATACAGACCACTGTAGCACACATCACAGAGTGCCACTCAGAAGGAAAGATCTAGAACATTAACAGTAAGTAACCATGGAAACTGAGAGGTGAAGTGATATTTATTTTCTGTTTTGCACTTTTCTGCATTTGTGAGAAACAAGAATATATTAGTCTTAAATTGGAATAAAAAATAAAGCTATAAAAATGTACCTTCTAAGTCTTGGTTCCTTTTCAGAGGAATTCAGAGAGCAGTTAAGATCTGAGGGGCAAGGCCTCCTGAGTGGCCCAAGACTATCTCCAGCCACCTGTCTATTCTCTTCCATGCTGATGAGAGATGCGCTCTGCAGCAGAGAGCCCACATGGTAAAGAATCATCCTTCCAAAGGCAAGGATTCTTTTCTCTCAGTTGTGTCCATGCCTTCAACCTGCACTGCTCAGTAGGGAAGGACTGGTACCAGTAATGTGAGCAACTTCCTAAGCACGGCCCTTACAATCCTTCTGGTCAACCCAGGGCTTCAGGATCCTGACTAATCAGAAGCTGCAGTGTTACATCAGTTCTTATTCCTTCCACCAGCTATATGGACATTCACCAGCTCTCTGGAATCCTTCTCAAAGAGGGCTGTGCCTTGCTCCAGCTCTAGGGAGCTGCTGAGCTGTTAGGTTTCCTGGAATGGCAAGAATCCCATGTCTGGGCACACAGGGTTTCTGCCAGCCTTGGATCTAAGAGATCTTGTTTCCTTTTGTCATAACACCTTTGGGCAAAAACAGGGAAACCCAAATTTGACTAGAAGACTCACTAGGCAAATCAGTGTTGACTATGGCATAGACTCCATGCATCAGCCTCTGGCACAAAGATCTTTCCACTCCTCTTCCTCCTCCTCCCAAGGTATTACCTCTGTATGTCCACTGTCTTTCCCAGGTTCTATGAAGGTGACAGGAGCTAAAATATCATCCAATGAGGTAATTCCTTATGAGGTCAAGACATGTGCAAGAGAAGTAAATAAACCTTTTTTTTTTTCTCTCTTTTAGTACTGTTGTGTATGAAGCCAATTCTTGGTTGGACAGGATTTAAGAGAAAGTTCCTTAGATTAGTGTTAATGTCCAAAGACTGTCATGGCCACTACTTATTTTTACCCCTGGACCTTTGGGGTCACTCTTCCTAAATGAAATGGAAACAACTGTCATGGCTGCAGCGGAACTAAAGAGGAGCTTTTGTTTCCCAAGACCAGTAAGAATTTAGCTAACATTAAGCAGAGAACGTTGTAATGAGGATATAAATTAACAGGACTAATAAGGTCAGTCTATTAAAATCATTAGTTTCATTAAGAACTTGCCAAAGCTGGGTGACATTCACATTTACCTCCCAAGGAGCTTCCCTTCTAAAACCTACCACAGAGCCCAAAACATTATTTAGGGTTTTCATTTACGATTTCTTCTCTACCTGATAGAAATCCTTATTAAGTTATTTTTAAAGAAAAGTTCACATTACAGATGAACAAGGTTTCCCAGCTACTGCCAAATTGTTCACATGGTGATAGAGCAGGAGGACAAATATGTCAATGCTAAAAATAGAAGTGACAACACATAAGGAGACCTGGCTCAGACCACTCATAGCCAAGGTGAGCGGCACACAGAGACAGAAGAATAAATTATGAATTTTAATAAATATCACATCCTAACAATTGCTGAGGTATTCACTCATTTCTGTTTAAAGACTCAATTTCTCCTTCATGCCAGACAAATGGTAACTCGTTAGAGCAATTTAAACAGATACCGATAAAGGGAGTTTTTGATTAAGGTCATGAATCTGGGCTGACAGGAAAGCAGTGGTGTTTCAGGGCGAACAGCCTACTTAGGAAAGAATTAAACCTGGTGGAGGGGAAGGTGCTTCTATCGTGGTGCTGGTGAAGGAGCTTTGCAACTTCCAACCAACTTGCTGCAAGAGGATCAGGAGCCCACAATAGATGCACAGCTTGGGAGAGAAGGAAATTTTCTTGAGGTCTACACCACTTTCCCTGTGAGAAACAACCAAAAATAAAAAATGACCACATCTGCCTCTAATTGACAGAAAATTTCAAAGAGTTTATTTACACTTGAAAGTGCCTTCAAACTCCTCTTAAAATACTGAAAGAACACAATGGGAAAGAGCACAATGATAGGTGCCATGATAACAACTTCACTTTTTCCTTTACTCTGGCCAAATGTCAAGTCACTGAGATGGCAATGCCACCATCTTGGGAATGATATAAACGAACAAACTGCTTAAGCCAAACAGATCCACTAATGAGTCATCACATTGATCTAGCAAAGGAAGAAAAACAAAAGTCCACACAAAAGTAGTAACTACTGGTTTTATTTTTTGTTTTGGGTTTGTTTTTGTTTTTTTTCTTTTCTATTTGTCCTCACTAAAGAGCATTTTTCATTCATCTATGAACAGTATGTACAGGTAAGGTGGGTGGGGCAAATGACTTGAATAGGAAAGCCGCATATACATCTCAGCAAGACAACAGCCAGGCACGCAGTCCAGGGGCTGCCTAGGGGGAGCTGATACAGAGCACAGATGATACAAATGCCAAGTACTTAATGAAATGATCTGCAAACTTGAGCAGGGATAGGCAAAATTATAAGATGTGAAACATTTTAAGACTTTAGAAAAGACACTATTGTTACCTTTTATTAATTTGCTCAGTAAATATTTATTGTGCATTCAGCCCATACCAGGCATGGGAAGGAGCGGAACACATAGAGTAGTCATGCTGACTGTAGTTCTCAGTTTTTCTGTCAACATGGGCCCTTCCTGAAGTGAGTTAACCTAGAGAAATCTAGCAATGTTGGTTTGCCTATACCTCCTGTCTCATTTTCTACAAAAAAAGAGACAACTGGCCTACTGTCAGACACTAACAAGGGACTAGCCACCTCTGAATTTCCATTCTGTGCACAACAATAGGCAACCCTGACTGTGTCATATGGTGCTACTTCCATAAAAGATTAAGGCTATTTTGTTAAAATTAAAGGGAGTGTATGCATGAGTATAGGGAAGGAGGTGTTAAATTCAATTCACAATCACATTTTTAAAAGCCTGAAATTTTAAAAGACTAGTTTCCTTAAAGGATCCTTAATCTTATTATTTACCTTCCTTTTCCTGGGAGTTGCCCTTTCCTTTCTTCAGAGAGGCTAAGAGCAAATGTCCTCCAAGATCCACTTAGAACTAGCTACCTTCCCCATGTGAGCATCGCTTATTTCCCAGATATGCTCTCCCTTCTCTCTTGTAGGCCTTCTCTTTCAATACCTAAGCCAGACCCAAGCAGACTCCGCCTTCACCAAGCTGCTCAGATCCAACAGACCCTGCACCCAATAAACACTATTGTCCCATTTAGGAACCCCCAGTTACATACAGACTTTTTCACCTACCCTGGAATCCACCATAACTTTAATGATTTATTTTGACAAGGTCTTGTTATATTGCCCAGGCTGTTCTCAACTTCACAGGCTCAAGTGATTTTCTTACCTCAGCCTCCCACATAGCTGGAAATTAGGCATGCCACCACCGTGTCCAGTTCCATAGTGACTTTAAAGGACATGTACTCCACACACAAGGTTATGAGTCTCTTGTCCAGCCTGGGTCACAGCTGCACCATGTGCTCCATTAGCTGACCACCTGTCAGGCTTTCCTGGACCAGCTTCCTTGTGACAGATAATAGGCAACTGCCTTTCCATGATCCCACCACTTACAAATAAACTGTATTTCCTACCACCCTCAAAGGATGTTTCACGCCCTTTCAGTCACCAATCTGCTACTACGTTTCATTCCAGTTTACCACTGTGATCCCAGAGGATGCAAAATGCAAGCCTGATGGTGTACTGAATCGAATATAGTGCCCTCTCCCCAAACTCATGTCACCCAGAACCTGTGAATGTGACCTTATTTGGAAATAGGGTCTTTGCAGCGGTACTATCAAGATTAGGGTGGGCCCTAATTCAATAACTGATGTCCATATAAGAAGAAAGAAAAAAAAAAAGGAAGAAATGGGAACACAGAGGGAAGGCAGAGGCAGAAGTTGGAGTTATGATGCCACCTGAGACAAGGAACACCAAGGATGGCCAGCAACTGCCAGAAGCTACTAGAGGTAAGGAGGGTCTTCCTAAGAGTCTTCACAGGGAGCATGTAGCCCTGCTGACACCTTGATTTCAGACTTCTAGTCTTTAGAACTGTGCAAGAATAAATTGTTTTAGGCAATGCAGTATATACTAATTTGTTACAGCAGCTCTAGAAAACAAAAACAGTTGGCAAGTCAAAGTTAATGCCAATGGAGCTACCTCTAATTACTTGGTGTCTTGGTGTCTGAAACAAGTTCCTAGGCACTATCATTTCTCAGAAAACATCCGAAGAAACAGTAAATGTCAAAAAAAAAAAAAAAACAGCAAAGCAAAATGCTGCTTTCAACAGACCAGTGAAATCCTTTGCCCTTAACATAAACAGCAAACTAACTTAGAGG